TGGATGTAGCATATTAAGAACAACTGGGATATCCAGATATGAGTAAGTACACAGAGATACAATCAAAGCAAATACTGAAATGGTTAATGGCTGGTTTGATTTCTAAAGGTATTTTTTTTAAAAAAAAGTAATTTTGTATGAGCGAACGGTATATTATGCACAAGTTTTTATTATTTCCCTGTACACATGAGACAACAAACTCAGAGAAGAAATAAATAAATGGAAAAAAATAACCTAGTAGTAAAATACAACAGCAGACGTCCATCAGCCTCCAAGGGAAGGAGCAAAGGCAGAAGTAGGATGTATTTTCCAGTTTAGGCAGCAAAACACAACACACTTCATGCTGTAGCAAACCACACAAACACTTTGGCCAGGAACATGTTTAGACTGGAAAGTTCAGTAAGTTCAAGTACTTCAGTATTCTGTTCCCTGCAAAGACAGTATCCATAATCTGTGCTGGCTGGCTGCTGGGGAGGAGCAGGAGCACAGCAGGGAGGTGGAGGGGAACAGTTAGAGTACCCAGCTCCCTGTCTTCCACTTCCTCCTAATCAAACACAGAGGCTCTGCAGGAGGCAGCACCCAGGTTTTGAGAGGTTAAGGGAGGCATGCTGTCCAAGGTAATGCAGTGCGAGCTACAAAACAAATACCATAAAATATGTATCAGTACGGATTTTAATACTGCATGATTGTACAGGTGATAAAAGTCAGTGCCTTCTTATCTGTCTCACAGCACCACTGTAAACACAGTGCTGGTGATCACCAAAGAAAGGTAAGTTTTGTCTGTAGCTGTGCAAACCAAACTGCAGCAGACTGACAGCAGCAGTACACAAGTTTGTTGTCTGAGACATCAGAAGCATCATACAAAATGTAAGGACCACTACACTGGAAAGAATGTTCATTAAATAGGGAATGAATTTAGGACCAGTCCAAAACTTGTTTACATCAACTTTACTCCCAGTATGAAAGATAAAGAGCAAACAGGATAGCAGTTCTCAGATATGAAATCTGTAACACCAGTAGAAGGCAAACATAGAAAAGACATTGCAGAAATCACATCAGGTCTTAGGAATTTCTATTTTGTGGAGAATAAAATTACATACAAACTCTTTCAATCCAAAGGCTGATAAAGATTGACAAAGTGGTGCTGAGTTGTACTTCCCTTGCTGACAGAAATAAGAATTGTCCTGTGATCGCTTAATTCTGTTTTGAGACACATTTTAATGAAAACTAACCAGCAGTGGCAGATGCTGGAGAGTGCTTGTGTGATGCCTGCATGATACTTTGGACTACTTATTTAGCTGGCAGCCATTATCAGATTTGTACCCGTTAACAAAATCTTGTAATCAGTCCCAGTGCCAGCTGATTGCATCTATTCCTCTTCCGGTCCACCTTAGCAACCTGATTGACATGAAAGAAATTATTCCTTGATCTCTCAATAAAGGAAGACTTTGAAATCACAGGAAAGTGAAAGAGGTTAAAACTGGCATTGATTGTTGGAGACACATTAATAATCTATTATTTAGCAGCCTTGACATCAATCTGTTGTGCACATGGCTCTTTCTGCAAGACTCCCAACATGTTCTAAATGATTCCCAGTACACATACTGAAAAACAGAATACATTCAGGTCAATTATAAGATGAAGATTCCCTCACTCACATGCTGCACTAGAAAGCAACTAGCCTTTATGGAAACCATGAGTCCCTTCCAATGTCTTCCCTGGAATACAGTAATTGTGTCGATATTTTACTTTCAATTTCCTCAAGCAGCAAAGTTGTCAAGTTAATCGCTTAAGGACACTGAAGCATTTCTCATCATGGAAGACCTTCCTTTTTCCTTATACAAAATTATTTTAAACTTTATGTTTTAATTCTGTAATTAAGTTTTGCATTAGGCCATTTTAATACAGAAAAGACATTAAGCAGCTTGCTATCCAGTTCAAACAGTTCTTTATGAGAAGCATTATCTTCACTGCTACAGACATTATCTTCTACATGCTTACTGAAACAGTACTCTAAAGCAATTTCCGCTGAAAAATCTCTGTGCTGTATGGGGAAAAACACCAGAGCTCTATCAGAAGTTTTATCTAACAATTCAAAGGTATTGCAGGAGATTGCATCATCCAAATTTTACTGATCACCTTGACAGTCAGAATCTGACTGTAATTACATTATAGCCACTAACCTAAAATAGGCTGTAACAACTTCCATTCCAGTAACTGCTTATACACTTACCAAAATGCTCATTCAATACTGTTCATGCTTTTCCAGAGCAGTCCACAAGAACAGGAACACTTCCTCTCTGTGAAACACTGCATTTCCTCCTTCTTCACCCATTCCTTCCTAAATATAGACTCGCCTCCAGCTTTTTTTCATTACTGTATACCCTACGGACAAAAGGCTTAATTCCTCATCTAAGTCAAAGTCAGAACTTCCATTTACTTTTAATGACACATCTAAATGAACTCCAAGGCTAAAGAACTGTCTCAACTACTGGAGATGTCCAGAAATAAAAGAAAAAAAACCAGTAGTGCTTTATTTTGGTGACTAACCTTTTTTCAAGCTTTTTCAACTGCAAAGCAGGTAACTTAAGATTGCACAATGGAACACAAGAATATATGAGAATATAAACCAAACTAATCATAGAGGCACCGTTTTAAGCATTTCTGAACTATTACACTGTGCAGTGAATATCAATATTTGTATTACATTTATGAAATAATGCTATGCAAATTCCTGGTAGCACTTTTATCCAACTATTAGTAGCTTCTAAATTTGAATTAAAGAAAAATAAAAATGTGAGGGGTTTTGTTTGTTGTTGTTTGTTTTAAATGAAAGCAGCAAGTCTGTAATGATGAAATGAAGTTAAATTTTTTGCTTATCTCATAAACCAGATCTATAGTATTCAATGTATATTATTCTCAGAATGTGACTAATGGGGTGAAAAATACATCTTTGTATTGTCTGATCTGTTTTCTATTATTCTATTTAATCAAATTTCATATTAGCACAATATTCTCGTAGTTGTATGCACTTACTGACACCCTGAATAAAACGATGTACAGATACTAGCCACAGTTATAACCTGGTCTTTAAAATCTCACACAAAAGCAAAGAAAGTAAATGTAATTGCCACTTGGATTCAACAGAAACACAGCTCAACCAATCATTAATAGCTATGCTTCACAGAAAAGCTACACAATCTGATAAATAAGAGAGAAAAAAGTTTAAACAATATTACAAGAAGTGTTAATACTATTTATTTGCACATTCCTCCTCGCTGAGTTCCCCTTATTGTGATCACAGCAGGCTTGTGTTATTTCTGTACACTCCTTCAAATTTCTCCGCAATCAATCCCTTGCAATGGAATTTTCACAAGAACTCTGTACCACGTAAGTACAGGTGAAGTGTTCTTCCATAGAAAAAGCATTCAACATTTCCTTCTGTTCTTGCCTTACAAAAGCCTGTATGATATAATACATTATTGCAACCGTGACAAGGTGGGGGCATTTTACCAGGGAAGTCTCCAAAGTATTAGTTCCACTAATTGAAGAGAATGCTGCTAAAGAAAAGGATTTATTTAACTTATTGTTGTTATTATGACATTTAACAGTCAAATCTCAGCCACAAAACTGTACCTGTCTGGGGAAGGAGGTTCTAATGCTATTTTTTACTCCCCACCAAACTCCAAGGAAACACACACTGGAAAAGGGAAAAAATATATAATCTACTGTGTGACAGTGTGAACTCCTGCAGCATGAATACTACATATCTGATTTGGGAGAAAACAACCTAATGCCTAAGTCACATCTGCTTAAAAAAACCTCAAGCAAACAACATAACCCCAAAATAAATGAAACAACACAAATAATCCCCCAAACTTTACATATTTCCTGTTGCTATTTTCAGTGGAAGAATTTTATTTAACATCTAATGTATAAGAAAGTATTGTGAAGGATAATTGTCACAGAAGATGTGGACAGAGATTGCAACATATGAAAATGATTTAGTATTTTTGAATATTACAGATTTTTCATCAGTAATATATACACACCTCAGAATTCCAGTAAATTCCACCAGACATGCCTTCACAGACACAGTAGAAAATAAGGGTTCATGTTTGGTAACCCACAAAAAAGAAGTCAGTGCAGATAAAACTGCTCACACTAGAATGTGAAATTTTGATGTTTCTATACTCAGAAGACAAAATTTTAAGGCTCCACCGACACAAAACTAAAAGGAAGGCTTCAAAGCCTGCTTTAATTCCAGAGTTCTTTCCATAAATTTAAAACAGCATGTTGATCTATACCAATGCACAACCATAGCACTACTTTGCAGAACAGTTTTTAAGAATTATTGTTAGACTTTGCAGAGGTCACAGAATGGAACTGTGCTAAATGTTCCACAAAGATTATTCAAGAGGCTCATGTAGGCACAAGAATCTCTTACATACATTCAAGCAACATTCCACAGACAGAATATTTGCAGTTAGAATAAGTGGGGAAATAGTATTTCTACAGTTAAGGAATCTTCCTTGACTGTATTCTTCCATGAGGATACATACAATCAATACAAATTCTAGGAGAAATTCTGGCAGATGCTCTTTAGGGAACAGAATTTTAGCATCACTTGGCAAAACTGTACTTATTCCATTATCTTTCAAATTTCAAATCCTGTTTGGACAGCACATGACAATTCTAAACATAATGACCTCATTAACTGTCAGTAAGTGTGCAAATAAATACTGAAAAAAAAAACCAACTTACAAAACACTAATACATACCATTCACATTCATTTATGCAAATTCTCAGCTCTTCATAAAGCCTAAAATTAACAGGGCATTGGTGTGCTGGCAGGTAGCTGTAATTATCTTCTCATGTTTCTGAAGGTACTTCAGAATCGCCAAATCCATGCATGGACACAACAACAGCAGAGGCAAACCAGCTGACAGAAGTCTGAACACCCACAAAGATGATAAAAAATACTGTTTGATACAGCTACTTACATCATGTCCTACGAGTTCTGTCTGTGTGGATTTATCTGCTTGGGAAGCAAGAACCTTCTGAAAGCACTGAGCCTTTTCCTGTAAAACAAAATAACATTGCATAGGTGAGTCATGTTTTTCCTCACTGGGCTTTGCAGCTCCAAACATCCAGAGAAATTCAAAACTCATGCATGGACAGCTGGTATGAAATAGATTTATTATGGCACTATTCACACTGGGAGGTTGATTTCCTTCCTATTATATGCTTTTATAAATTTGTCTTTGCCTTACACAGAGTAGACTCAGCCAGTCTAACTCTGTGATACAGAGGGACCCACAGGAAGCATGTCACTGAGGCAGACACTGAGCTACAAACCACCAAGCAACTGGGGGGAACACCAGCACCACTCCAACAGCAAACAAATAACTTACTTTTTTTTAAACATTAAGAAACTTGCAGATCACAACACTGAGATGACTTCTGCCCTCCCCTAATGCAAACATGTTAGCAAATCCTAAGCATTTCTTGGGTATTACACTGGTTTCTGCTTTTCCCATCCTTGTCCCTCTGTACCTCAGTAATTTTCAGAAGCGTGGCATGGAATCAATGAACAGGCTTGAGCAAAGATATCAGGCTGCTTTGACACAAAAAAAACCTGGATTCTGATACTTCATTTGAATCTCATCATTAAACATGCTAATCCTCATCAAGGCCTTGAGCATACTATTTTAGTTTCCAGGAGAAGATATTTTATAAAACAACTGTAAATATGTAGGTAAGGCATGAAATGGCACACAGGAGGGGAAGGAAAATGCAAAATTATTTACTTCATTGATTTATGTTTTCCTGCTTACTGATTCAGTTTAATATTTCAGTTGTATCTGTAAAAAATACTTACCTTGAACTCAAATTCTTCAACATCTACAAAATATAATTGAATGCTACTGACAGGCATGTATTGCAACAAAACAGAATTCATTTAAATTGAATTTCAAGTTAATTGACTCTCAAGTTCTCATATTATTTATTTCAAGGGAAGGTATGCACATCACTTAATTGAGTAAACAGCAGAAAGAAGTCAACCCCTTAGTGATTCTCATCTCCAGTATTTCAACGCTTCAAGTAAGGGCTGGGGAAACAGAATTCAGACTGATCTCTTCACTTGTACAAAACTCTTGAGCCCAAATTTGCTGATGTAACAACCAAGTTAAAATTGAACTCATAGAAAAGGAAATCCTAGTTCTGACAGAAATGCTTTGTCCTCTTGAGATCTGAATTTACTAGTCCACTGTCCAAAGGACTTTTGCATGTTTAAAAGATAAGCATTATTATACATCTATGTTATTTAACCATATTTTACTGCTCAGAAGTTCTATTTTCTAGCTATAAACTGATACTGTCAGATATTGGGTCTTCAAGTGATGTAGTGATTGGAGCAAAATCATCATTAAACTGTGTATCTGATCAAATTTAACATTGTATGGATTCACAAATACATGTTTTTTTTTAAAAAAAAAAAGAGATTGAAAAGCAGGGAGAAAAAAACCCAATCAGAATAAAGACAAATATTCATTAAGGCAAAAAATTAACTGTGAAAGCTAGAAAGGTTGGAATAACAAAACCCTTTCCTTTTCCCAGAGCTGCTCATTTAACTAGATATATGCAGTGAGATCCATTTTTAACATATCCAAGCTCTGATTCTACATTAACATGCTAATATTTTTTATTTACTTTTAGTGAGCTAACTAATAAAATGGGAAAAATTGAAATTTCTAGATGTCCAGGTACTGGAAAAGAAAGTTTGAAACTAAAACCCTCTTCTTTTTTCTCAAGTATAGCAAAAGAGAAAATGGAAGATCTTTACAAGCCAAGTAGCATGCTTTAACCTTGATTCATAACAAAGAAGTTACCTGGACATCTATTCCCACAGCAGCCTTCTACTACCCTCACAGCGTTACTCCTAGGAAAGACTACAATTATAAGGTAACATTGTAAAGAAATTTTTCAAGTTTTTTCAAGTCCTGAAACTTCCTTGAGACATTCTTGCCATTCTACAAGACAAAAATTACCTTCTTTCAGAGGCTTTCCAATGAAATTGAATAATTATTATTAACTTTTTCCATATGTGACCCAGTCCTGCTTCCTGCCCTTTCTCTGTGTATCTGAGAGGAGTCAACTCCCCCTCCTCCAAGATACTACCTAGTAAAAAGACTGCAAATAGATCTTCCCTTACTCTTTTTCTTTACAGGGTAAACAAAATAAGTACCTTTGCCTCTCTAAAGACCAAGAAGGGACCAAATAATTTATTTAAAAATATTTTTAGGATCAGACAAAGTACTTTGAGGTGACTTTTTTAAAGTGAGAGCATTAATGAGCATCTTCTCTTACCATTCTGTACGTTGTTATTGCCTCTTATTAAAATAAACAGCACAAAAGTACATTTGCAGGTGACACAGATGAGAGCATGAAAAACTTTTATTTCCTGGGTTCATCCTAATCAGTGAAAAGGCAGGAAGAGCTGTTGCCCTTTTTAATACAACACTGCCAGGAATATTCAGTGCAGCCCTCTCTCTTGACGTACCCGTGTGTGTGTATCACAGTGTGTGTTTTGAGGGGAGAGAGAAAGAGAAACTACATGGAAGGGCATGTTCTCAATCATTGCAGTTGCTTCAATTACTGAGATCACTGACTGTGCTATTTCAACAACCACAGTGCAAAGCATTAGACCATGATCAATAAAGATCATGTTCCTGTCTATTTCTTCACATGGGAATAAGTTCACACATAGTTTGTATCTCAATCCAGCTCTGATACAAGAGTGTCATGGTTTGAATACTTAGATTTTATTACTATGCTTGTAATAAGTCACCAAAAGGTGCTGAAATAGGAAGACAACAGACATCAGCTGAAAACTGATGCAAGGAAAAACAGTACAAATAAAAAAGAGAAGTGAAATGTGAGATAAAAAAGTGAGAAAATTACTTGGTCTTCACTACTGAAAGACAGATAGTAGGAAAAAAGTAGTCAGTTACTTAGATTTAGGCAGTCAGTAAAGCCTGATACATCTTGAAACACTACACTGGTTTTCTGAAACATTCCTTCATCAAACAGACGAGTATTAAAACAATTTTCAAAGCTTTGACTATGCACAGGTCAAAGTTATTTTTTGTGACTGTTTTCTTATCCCATTCCCTACCAGTGACACCATGGTGACCACTTGTGGTGCTTTGTTTAATTGCAAATTCCAAAAAGAAAATGCTTGAAAATTACTTTGAATGCTCAAATCAAGGAACAAAACTTACTGCCTCAGGTGTTTTGGAGGACTCAAAACTTTACTGTCCAGTACAGCTGTGGCCTTCATCTCTAAAGAATGTATTTTGTCTAGTCGATAGCATAGTAAAGATTTTTTTTTCCCTTAATGGCTGTTTCACCTTTATTGTTACTTAGATCAAAAAATATAAAATCTCATAAATTAACCTTTTACCTCTGTTTCCTATAGTCTTTACAGATTATTCTAAAACCTTATGAAGATAAATGTGGTGTTTTCTCTCAGCATACATCCAGAACAGCCTTCAGTAGCCACCAACATTGCAGTCAGATTTGCAACTCACATGTGATTGTTTCCCTTGCTTCAGGCATGAACCCCACTGTGAACAACAACTTATGTTCACCATAGAACTGGGGCAAAAAAACAGTTTTTCAGAAGAGCTATAAAAATGTAAAGTCTTTTAATTCCAATGTGATTTGGGATTAAACTTAATCAACAGCAGCAGTTAGGCAGGGAGCAAAGGGATAACAAGTAGGAAAAAACCCACTTTCCACCATCTATTCTACCTAATTTACAGACTACAATGAGCTACAAAATTGACTTTATGACAGCTATTTCCATAGAAATTGAGTCCCTATTGGTTTCAGTCTCAGTTTGGGAAGAAAACATATCATATACAGCATAGCTCCAGTGATCAGCTGCAGTACAGCTGAGTCACATCACACTTGAAAACACTTTGTGAAGCCCAGCAAAAAGCCCAGCTGTCTCTTGAGCACAGCATGAGAAAACAGCTACAACTTGGTTCAGCTATCCATACATAAATGTACTAAGAACTGAGGTGCTAAATAGCCACAATAAATTTAGAGGCATTATTCTGCAACCACAGTAACAAATGAGTGTGACCATCCCCAAGGGAACTATCCCATTGATCAGGAGAAAAACATGAGAAAACTTGGTGGGAATGCATCCAAGTATCCACAAATGCAGGTTTCACTGAGGGTTATAGTTCTGTCAAATCACTGCAAACAACACCAAAACTACATGGAATTTCAGAGAACATTTCATTGCTTTTGTTGGAGTCTGGAATACAGAGTGTGTGCCCTTGTTTCTGATACTTAGTTCTAAGATCCAGAAAAACACTGAATTTCATATAACATGAAATTCATGGGCATGTTTTCATGGTGATACATGAAAACAAATGTTAAAATTAGATAGAAAAAGCTAAAAGTGTAAGTGTGTAGATTAGAAAGTTTTCTTAAATCACTGGGTGAAAAAGTTAGAGAACAAGAGACAAGACGGAAGATTTAGGATGTTGTCTCTTGTCTTTCTTCTCTCTTCTTCATGTTCTTCTCCTAGAGGTTTTTGGGTGATAGTTAAGTGATTGGACAGAAAATGCCACAGTGCAGCACATAGGTAAAGGGTCATGAAGAAAAATAATATACGTGTCTATTGCTAATTAGGTAAAAACAGGTATAAAGATAAAAGAACTGAATATTTCGGGGTCATTTTGTGCATCAAGCACAGGGTGAGCCACAAGACCTTGTTGTACCAAATGTACCCAATTGCGAAGATTGTGCAGTTAGTCTGGAGAGACCTGCCAAGTTTTGTGATGACCTTCTAATAAACACAAGAAACAAGATTGTAATGAGCTCTGGAGTTTTCTTCAAACCTAAAGAACTGATATAAGCAGGGCTCCCCACAAGGGAGGATCCCAAAAGAATTCAGTCCAAAGGAGGCTGAGAAAACCAGAAAGAGAAAAGAAAAATACAGAAGAAATGCAGCAGAATCAGAGAAACAGAAAAAGGATTTTTTAGAGAAAAGTTACAGCTT